TCAAAGGAAAGTTTGGGGCACCACTGATGAGAAGTTCTCATAGACCAAGGTGGAGAAGACAAAGAACCAGAGGCCTTCAGACTTAGAAGATCTCACAGGGTTTCCTTACCTGGTTCTTTCCTCGCCTGCGGTAATTCCTTCTCACCAGGTTCTTGTAGTTCTCGTTCTTCTTGGTCAAATAGTAGTATAGGACACAATCCGCCACTGTCTAGAAAAAGAAAACACACGCACACATGTAGATGATACTTGATAACAGAGGTGTGGGAGGGAAGCACACTTTGGATAACACAATGTGGACCTTCTGATGCCATCGAGGTTGTTTGTTCCTTTTCAAAGCACCACAACCCACAAGAGGACTCGCAAACCAGGATGGGCAACTCTTAGCGGAGGGGGTGAACCACTTTCCTTGGAAATAGCTGTCCCAGGCCAGGTTTCTGGTTTTATACTGGACGTTGGGAACAAATGCCCCCTTGAGTTGGCAGGCTGAGTTAGTCTGAATAAACCGAATTTGGGAAGGCAACCAAGAAGCTCCAACAGCTTCTTCACAGAAGGTCCGAGAGATTCCTTCACAAGAAAGAATCAAGTGGAAAAAAGCTTGCTTTGATAAAAGGCAATCATGGGAAAGGATTCAAAGAAACCCACTTACTTTCCTGTCCAGGAAGGAGGCGATCAGGCCGAAATTCTTTGGATGTTGCATGAACCTGGAAGCAGAAGACCCAAAGGAATGATTAAGAAAATAACCGTGAAGATGTTTGGTTGGGGAAACCAACTTTGCTTCTTTCTAAATAACCATCAGAAGCAAGAGCTGGGCTGGAACAGTACCCAGCAGAGAAGGGGGTGGGTGGGGTGTCCTACAGATCCTCTGTGCAGATAATTCTTGATGTAGGACCATACCGGAACCCAGAATTTCCATTGTTAATGATGGTTGTTAACTTGAGTCATCCATATAACTGGAGCCAATTTTACAACTCTTTTGCGGTTGTTGCAAGGGAAAACCGTGGTGACTTAATAAAAGGGGGGTCCTTAAGTCAATCCAGGTATTTCTATGGCTGATTTGAGGGGGGGGGGGTCAGAAACCAGCAGAAAAAGGCAGAAACTGGCAAAAACGGTGGTCAGGTGACCATGGAATGTTGCCAGCAGTCATCAGGGTTGCCAAGCCCACCAAATGCAGTCATGTGATCATGTGGGGAGCTGTTGGAACTCCAGAACTGGGTCCTAAAGTAGCTTTTAGGAGGTCCATTGTAACTTCCACCAGTTGCTAAGAGGACTACAGATACTTTGAGCTATGCTTCCCCAAATCTCTCGCCACGGGCCACGCAAGTTGGGAATGAAGAGAGTTAGTGTTGTGATTCCTCGCCAGCCGGTGGACCTGGCAGCGGAGTCTGAGGAATCAGAGGAGGAGGAAGAGGAGAGGCCTGGGATGACATCAGAGTCAGAGGAAGGCTATGAGGAGCTCCAAGACTTACAGTCGGACGAGGATCCTGGCCCCTCTATTCCCGCTCAGGCTGAGACACAGCTGTACTGGGAGCCAGATTTGGACAGTGATGAAGAACAGCTGGGACAAATCCCGGATGCACGAATGCGCAGGCAAGGGAAGCGAGTAGGACAGAGAAATTCAATGGGGCGGCTCCAAAGGCAAAGGAGAAGGCATTAGGAAGCCATGCCTTGGCTGAATTATAAAAGGGAAGGTTTGGGAGGTGCTGGTTGCCAAAGGCAACCATTCGGGTTGAGGATCGAGTTTCTGTGGACTGTGTTTGTTTGTCTTGGACATTGACTCAGGTCTGTGAGAATAAAAGGGGTTGTTTTTTTCTTGCGGTTCCTGCCTGTTTCTTGGAAGAGAGGTTCCTCCTTATGAGCATAACAAGGACCCGCGTAGGCTGGGACAGAACAGTTAAGACTTCCAAACCAGGAAGGGACATGAGGTTGTCCACAGATGTTCCCCACTCCTCAAAGACCTCCCCCTCTTAGCCTGCACCCTCAAGGACAAGCGAGGCACTGCTCTCCACTCACTTCTCTCGGAAGGTCTCTTTCTCCTGCTCACTCCACATATTCATCACCTGCCGGTCCTTGTAGACCTTCATGGGGTCGTCCATCAGGCCGTTCATGTTGATGAACTTGATGCGTTGCTGTTCAGCGTCGTAAAGCATCGGGGGAATGACGGCCAGCTGGCGCATCTGTTTCTCCAGATTCTGATAGGGAAGAGAGANAGGGAAGAGAGAAAAAAGAGGACCTCAGGAGGAAGCAGAAGATTTTGGGGGGGGGGGGGACAGTCCCGAGACCTTGACAAGAGGACCAACCTGGAAATAAGAATAGAATAGAGTAGAACAGAATTCTTTTATTGGCCAAGTGTGGTTGGACACACAAGGAATAAGGTCTCTGGGATTGCGAGAAGATGGACTTTGGTCCATCTGTGGTTAAGTCTCATCCCACCTTTTGAGTAATTACTGTCGTGAATTTCCTTGGAACCCCAAAACACAGCCAGAGAGTTTAAGCTCAGCTTTAAAAAATTTGGGGTTCATTTCATAAACCCGTGGGTCTTGCTGGGACCGATGGAAATGAAGGATGAACTATGGTGAATTTTGGTTAATGTTAGTTTCATTGAGTACCTTACAGAAATGCTGGAAAGCCAATAAATGACTCCCATGGCGTCTATGTGGAACCTCCATGGTCAGAAATAGACTATCCCAGAATATGACTTTTCTGGATGGGACCAACAACGGGAGGCCAGCTGCAGTCTTCAGGTCCAGCTTGCGAACTTTTCCAAGAGGCCATTTTAGGAAGTCCAATGCTAGATGAGATGTTTCTTGGACCTGACCCAGCTTCTTTGTTTATGTTAGCTATGTAAGAGTGATGGGAATCTCCAGATACTGAGAAAGTCCACCTCAGAGATCTGAGGACCACGGCAAATAGATGACCAAAGACTTTATTTCCTGCTGGTGGACTTCTTGGAAACATCTGGCTGCCCATGATAGAACCAAGGTGGGTTGGATTTGACAGGCCTTTGGCTTGATCCAGCACAAAGGTGGATTAGGCCAACAACCAATATTGGAACAGCAAACGTTGGAGAACGTAGCTCCATCTGAGTTTTGCCTAGGTTGGGAGAATCAAGCTGCTGGCTTCAGGCCTCCATCTTATAAAAGGCCAACTGGGAAATGAATGGGGAGGTCTCCCCAAAAAATTAAAACAAGAGGGTTGAGGCCCATCAAATGCCTCGGGCTGGTGGTTCCTAATAAGGTCTTCAAAGCAAGAGATAAGAGAGCGCAAAGGGCAAAGCAGGAGAAGCTCTTGGTCCAATCCAGGGGTAGGCAACTTTTGCTCTTTCATGACTCGTGGACTTCAACTCCCAGAATTCCTGAGCCAGCCACGCTAGGGGAAAGGGAGAGGTTTCCAAGCTGAGCCAGGCTGGCTCAGGAATTCTGGGAGTTGAAGTCCACAAGTCATAAAGTGGCCTAGGCCTAGGCCAGAGGTAGACAACCTTGGCTCTTTCATGACTCGTGGACTTCAACTCCCAGAATTCCTGAGCCAGCCACGCTGAGGGGAAAGGGAGAGGTTTCCAAGCTTAGCCAGGCTGGCTCAGGAATTCTGGGAGTTGAAGTCCGTGAGTCATAAAAGAGCCAAGGTTGCCTATACCCCTGGTCCAATCCATCCAGAGACCAGCTCCGGGGCTGAAGTGAATGCAATTTCCCAGCCGCTTGAGCAACCATCTCCCATCTCCGGATCGGTGGTGGCTGCAGCTCTTCCCCAGAGCGAGAGAGGAGAGCTGAGAAGGAGAGGACTTGAAGCCCCGGAGAACTGCTGGCCCAGCCTCACCTCTTGTTCCGAGAGCCCGTCAATAATCTCCGATACCTCGTGTTCGCTGCGGGCTGCCGACATGGAGAACCCGCTGCCTCTCTGTCCTCCCCTGCTGAGAAACGGCAGACAAAAAAATGCTTAGAGAGAGACCTCCTTTTTCTCCTTGCCCATGGCCTCCAACCGCCGGGCCAAGAAAGAGGAAGTAAGATCAATGCTGGGAAAGACAGAGGGTGGAGGGGAAAGTAGACCAGGAGGAGGGCTGTGGGAGCAGGACCCAATGAGCCAAAGGCAGACCTTCTAGTCATTCAGCGGATCTGCCCTACCAAGAAAGATTTACGTGGGCATGTCTTTGCCCGCGTGTTTTGATCATTCCTTAGCACAGTGATGGCAAACCTTTTAGAGACCGGGTGCCCAAACTGCAACCCAAAACCCACTTATTTATCACCGGGTGCCAGGTGGGCGTGGCCCACTGAGTGGGCGTGGCTGTGGTGGTCATGGCAGACTGGGTGGGTGTGGCCAAGGTGGGCATGATCACCTCGATGTTGCTCGTGGGGAGGGACGCCTGTGGGAGCCGGCCAGGCTTGGGGAAGATCCAGGGGGTCTCTGGCAGGTGGGGCGGTAGACAGGAGGCTCGTCCTACGGGGTGAGGCGAGGCAGGATGGGGGTGCCATTGTCACAGGGCAAGGTGAGGCAGGGGCCAGGGCGGCTGCTGCCTGATACCCATCAGCCCCTGCACACAGAGGCCAGCAAGCTCATGGGTGCTGGGATGCATCCGTCCATGTGGGACCTCGGCGAGTTAGCGGGCGGCTGGTTGAAGAGGGACGGTTGCCATCTCCGGGGCATGGCGCGCGTGCCCACAGAGAGGGCTCTGAGTGCCACCTCTGGCACGCGTGCCATGGGTTCACCACCACTGCCTTAGCACAACACGCGTGTTCTGGTGGCCCTCTTGAGAAGCTACACACTCCACAAAACATGACTGGGAAGGGGGTATGCAGATGAAGAAATGAGTGGATGAAGATGGAACTCCAACTCAACTGGAAGCTCAGCTCCAAGGCAAACAAACCAATGAACCTGTGCTTCCAAGACCTACTCCCCTGTGCAATTTATTTGCAGATTCCCCCTCTGGCATTAAAAACTGCAACGTGACAGCAAACATCAGGGAGGGGATTTTGAAATTTTAGGTTGCAGCAGTACGTAAAGTCATTGAGGTGGTTTGCGATGGTCCCAACTTCTCTCTTCAAAGCTCCTGATGGGCAGAAGAGAGGATTGCAAACTGGATCGGGGTGGAGGGCTGGATTTTGGTCCCAGGGATGGACCAAAGGTTTCCTGAAGGGAAGGAGGAAGCCACCTCTGGAACGTACATCTCATGAGGGACCACAAATGGGCCACCCGCTGACCTTTGCATTCGTTCCTGAAGTTCTCTCTGCTTCCTAATCTCGGGGAATTGCTTCTCATAATATTCACGGACTCTGCTCTCTTTGGCTCGGCGCCGGGGGTTATTTTCAATGCGTTCCACCTTCTTCTCCCAGGCTTCCATCAGCTGGTCATACCGCTGGCAGAACTTCTGCTCCTGAAGAGGCAGGGAAAGAGAAGTCATAAAAGGAGGTTTCCAGTGCCCTCAAATCCATTTGGAAACTGTTATCTACTCAACAGGGATTTTCCAAGTCCAATTTACACCTTCTGAAACTCATCCAGGAGACCGTCTAGTGCAGACATGTCAGACACAAGGCCCGGGGGCCGGATGCGGCCCGCGAAGTGGTTTCATGTGGCCCGCGAAGCCATCCTGGAAACAGTGAGGGAACGGCCCCCACTGCCTTGGCCCTGGCCCAGGCCGGCCGGGAGCCAATGTACAATTTTGTGGTGGCCATCTATGCTGAAACACATTCAGTCTTAGCTCCACAAGGCCATCTAGAAACAGTGAGGAACCAGCCCCTGCTGCGTCGGCCCTGCCCCCTGGGTGGATGATGGGGAGATGTCACCCTTTGTGAGGAATGAAGAAATGCACCATGCCTTGGCGCTTGCCCCAGTCCCACCCCCTTCTGCCAGAGACCCTCAGATCTGTCCCACTCCTGCCCAGGCCCCCACAGGCCCCCTTGACGGGAACGATGTAGAGCTGGCCATGCCCACCCAGTAGGCCACACCCATTCCATCCATGCCCACCCAGTAGGATGCACCCACTCTGGCCACACACACCCAGCCCCCCCCCAGGGCAACTGCAATGCTGATGCGGCCCTCAGTGAAATTGAGTTTGACACCCCTGTTTTAGAGACCGAGTGCCCAAACCGCAACCCAAACCCCACTTATTTATTGCAAAGTGCCAGGGCCGCATCAGCATTGTAGTGCCCTCGGGGGAGGGGCAGGGAGGCGCCTCTGAGTGCCACCTCTGGCATGCAAAAACCAGGGGTGCAAAAATGGGCCACCGTGCTGCAGGCACCCTTGACGGGAACTATGTAGAGCTGGCCATGCCCACCCAGTAGGCCACACCCACTCCATCCACGCCCACCCAGTAGGCCACACCCACCCTGGCCATACCTACCCCCCCCCCCGCAGAGGGCAACCGCAATGCTGATGCGGCCCTCAATGAAATTGAGTTTGACACCCCTGGTCTAGTGGAAGAACCACAAACTTTCTCGAGTTCCTTCAACCTGCAACATCACCCGTTGATCCCGGTGAGGGGTGTGAGCACAGCAACGACAGATTGACAACTACGGCGTGTGGCTTGGCACGAACCTAGCCCCACTACGGTTTAATCAATGAAACATGGTTTTAGGGTGGACCCGAGTTCCCTAAGAATCACAATTCTGCACGAACCAGCTAGGATACTTCTCGCTTCCTTTCGCAAGAAGCGAGATTTCCCAGGAAAACTTGGCGTGCAACACGGTGAAGCTATTGGTTTCCCAGTCTTTAAAAAAAAAAAAAACCAAGGCCATTGAAATGCACACAATACAACAAGAGCGCGCACACAAAGGAGAGCCAAGCAGAAAGATCAATATATGGAGCGCTGCCATTCGCTTTACGATTCCTCGGTTCAGGCCCTCGATAAATAAATAAAAGATCTGCAACCCGAAGGGACAGGAAGAGAGATTTTTCAATAAATGTGTCTCCAGAACTCGAGATGTGTCTACCTGGAGATGGAAGCCAAAGGAACACGTGCATTAAGAGAGCAGTGTGGCTGACTAAGAGACAACCCTGCCCTGTAGAGGGATTTAAGAGACCAAAAACAAAGGGCTTGAGAAAGTGCATTCACAGAATACGGAATGACAGAGTTGGAAGGGACCTTGGAGGTCTTCTAGTCCAACCCCCTGCTCAAGAGACCCTATTCCATTTCAGAACAACGGTTGTCCAATCTTTTCTTAAAAGCCTCCAATATTGGAGTACCCACAACTTCTAGTGACAAGCCATTCCACTGAATAACAGAATAACGGAACTGGAAGGGACCTTGGAGGTCTTCTAGTCCAACCCCTGCTCAAGCAGGAGGACCTATACCATCTCAAACAAGTGACTGTCTAATCTCTTCTTCAAAATCTCCAGTGATGGAGCACCCACAATTTCTGAAGGCAAGCTGTTCTACTGGTTAATTGCCCTCAATGTTAGGAAGTTTCTCCTTAATTCCAGGTTGCTTCTCTCTTTGATCAGTTTCCATTCAGTACTTCTTATCCAGAAGACAGAATACAGAATAAAGGAGTTGGAAGGGACCTTGGAGGTCTTCTAGTCCAACCCCCTGCTCAAGTAGAAGACCCTATCCCATTTCAGACAAATGGTTGTCTAATCTCTTCTTAAAAGCCTCCAGTGTTGGTGCACCCACAACTTCTGGAGGCAGGTTGTTCCACTGGTTAATTGCTCTAACTGTCAGGAAATTTCTCCTTAATTCTAGGCCAGGGGAAGGCAACCTTGGCTCTTTCATGACTCGTGGACATCAACTCCCGGAATTCCTGAGCCAGCCATGCTGAGGGGAAAGGGAGAGGTTTCCAAGCTGGCTCAGGAATTCTGGGAGTTGAAGTCCACGAGTCATAAAAGGGCTAAGTTTGAAGACCCCTGATTTAAATATTTAGATATTTTTCCCTCACAGTCACATGATCAAAATTCAGGCATTTGGGCAGGGGTAGGCAACCTTGGCTCTTTTATGACTTGTGGACTTCAACTCCCAGAATTCCCAAGCCAGCCATGCTGAGGGGAAAGGGAGAGATTTCCAAGCTGAGCCATGCTGGCTCAGGAATTCTGGGAGTTGAAGTCCACACATCATGAGGGGGCCATAGTTCCCCCATGCTGGCTCAGGAATTCTGGGAGTTGAAATCCACGAGTCAGAAAGCGGCCTAGGCGTAAACCAGGGGTAGGCAACCGTGGCTCTTTTATGACTCCTGAACTTCAACTCCCAGAATTCCCGAGCCAGCCATGTTGAGGGGAACGGAAGAGGTTTCCAAGCTGAGCCAGGCTGCCTCAGGAATTCTGGGAATTGAAGTCCACGAGTCATAAAGCGGCCTAGGCCTAGGCCAGAGGTAGGCCACCTTGGCTCTTTTTATGACTCGTGGACTTCAACTCCCAGAATTCCCGAGCCAGCCATGCTGAGGAGAAAGGGAGAGGTTTCCAAGCTGAGCCATGCTGGCTCAGGAATTCTGGGAGTTGAAGTCCACCAGTCATAAAAGAGCCAAGGTTGCCTAGCCCTGCACTAGGCGGCTTCTCTCCTTGATTAGTTTCCATCCGTTGCTTCTTGTCCTGCATCTCTGCCTCTGAATAAGATGCTTGCTTGCAGCCTGCCTGCCTCCCGAAGGAGGATAAGCATGCCAAACCCCGTTTTGGGGTTTCACAAAAGGAAGCAAAAACTTCTCACCCACTGTTTACGAGCATGGTTTCTCCTCTTGAAGTATAAAATCAGCTTCTTCCGCATTGCCTGGTTTCTGCAAAAGAGAGAGGATAAGTACGGGTAGATCAAGGGAGAACCATTTTTCCTCCACTCTCTGAATTGCTAGCTCCAGTGAAATGCCAGCAGCAGCAACAGTGGACTCGCATGCCATCAACTCTGGGCCTTTTCTTGGTTTTTCATTTTTGTAATTTATTTTTATTCCAGTGTTATAGTTTTAATCGCAAGGCTGTGAGCGTACCTCCTCCTTCTTCTATTTTTCTGCAACGACGACTCTGCAAGGTGGGTTGGGCTGAGAGGGAAGGATTAGCCCAGAATCATCCAGCTGGCTTTCATGTCTAAAGAGGGTCTAGAACTCACTGTCTCCTGGTGATTGGCCCAAGATCACCCAACCAGCTTTTATGCCTAAGGCGGGACTAGAACTCATTGTCTCCTGGTGTTTGGTCCAAAGTCACCGAGCTGGCTTTCAAGCTTAAGGCAGGACTAGAATTCACTGTTTCCTGGTGATTGGCCCAACGTCATCCAGCTGGCTTTCAAGCTTAAGGCGGGACTAGAACTCACCGCCTCCTGGTGATTGGCCCAACGTCACCCAGCTGGCTTTCAAGCTTAAGGCGGGACTAGAACTCACTGTCTCCTGGTGTTTGGTCCAAAGTCACCGAGCTGGCTTTCAAGCTTAAGGCAGGACTAGAACTCATTGTCTCCTAGTGATTGGCCCAACGTCACCCAGCTGGCTTTCAAGCTTAAGGCGGGACTAGAACTCATCGCCTCCTGGTGATTGGCCCAACGTCACCCAGTTGGCTTTCATGCTTAAGGCAGGACTAGAACTCACTGTCTCCTGGTGTTTGGTCCAAAATCACCCAGCCGGCTTTCACGCTTATGGCAGGACTAGAACTCACCATCTCCTGGTGATTGGCCAAACATCACCCAGTTGGCTTTCAAGCTTAAGGCGGGACTAGAACTCATTGTCTCCTAGTGATTGGCCCAATGTCACCCAGCCAGCTTTCATGCTTAAGGCAGGACTAGAACTCACTGTCTCCTGGTGAGCGACCCAAAGTCACACAGCTAACTATACCAGAATCCACTCCAAGGCTTTTGGGGGATCCCTGATAAACTCTGATTTGGCTCACGACACACTTGGCTGTATTCACACAACCAGTTTAGTTCGGCCACTTCCAATCTTGCAGTTTCATTCACACAACGAGCAAAGTTCTTTTTTGTTGTTGTTTTTTTCCTAGATAACATTGTTTATGGTCCAACGTTAAGGCATGAAAATGGCCAGTTCGGGAAGTAAGTCAAATGGGATGCATGCAAATCCAATTTTACTATTACTTCCTTTGGCAGGAAAAGCAACATCTGTTTGTGATAGAAGAAACCAACCTGCTGTTTGGGCACTCTGGATTGAAAACATCTGCCTCAAACCAGGAGCATCCCATTTGCTCTTTTTTCAAAGGAAATAAAACAAAATAAACCAGCTTCTTGAATCGAGAAGCTGACGCTCATCGGTTCTCAAAAGAAAACGGAGAAGCTGAATTTACGCTTTGGCTGGAAAAAGGGTTCAGCTGTAAAAAAACAAATTTGATTTCTAAGGTAGCATCCAGCTGGTGGTTTTTTTTTCCCAGCACAAAATAGCCCTTAATAACAAACACCAGCAGCCAACTTTACAAATAAAGGTAAAAGTGGACCGAAAAAAACTCACTATTGTGCCGAGATGCAGAACAATAACAGAAAAAAGGTCGTATTGGAATTTGGAGGCCAAATTACTTTCAAAACCTGCTTTGCAGTGGGTAATTTAAAAAGAAAAAAGAAAACCTTCCAGCTCAGAATTAAAACTGATTTTTGCAGATGAATGCCATTCCTGTATAGGCCAACTTCCACGTTTCTAGATCTTATGATGGGATCAAAACACCACCTCCTAAAGCTTAAATCCCTGGAAGGAGGGGATATCTGGGGCCTTTTCAAACTCACAACAAGGATGAATTTTAAATTCAGGAATCGGGAGTTATGCATCCATTTTCTGGGGATGGAGGCAACTGGGAAGGAACAAAACGTCTCTGAACGAACAGCTTCTCTTAATAAGAGCAGCAGAAAGCAATGTTAGCAACTTTAAAATGTGTGGACTTCAACTCCCAGAATTCCCCAGCCAGCATGATGGCTAGAGAATTCTGGGAGTTAAAGTCCACCAGTCTTAAAGCAAGCTGGCTGGGGAATTCTGGGTACTGAAGGCCACCTGTCTTAAAGCAAGCTGGCTGTGGAATTCTGGGAGATGAAGTCCACCATCTTAAAGTTACCATGTCTGAGGAACCCTGATCTCGAAGTTGCCAAGGATCTCCTAAGTCAGGGGTCTTCAAACTTGGCCCTTTTATCACTGGTGGACTGCAACTCCCAGAATTCCGCAGCCAGCATGCTGGCTGAGGAATTCTGGGAGTTGAAGTCCAGAAGTCAGAAAAGGGCCAAGTTTGAAGACCCCTGTTGTAAGTTCATCAGTCTTTAGAAGCTGGGGGGAAAAACAAGGCAGCTAAATCTGACATTTTCTGTGCAATTTTTAGGAGATGAACCCCTTTACATTTGGAAAGTCAGCAAAACATTCGGGGAGGGTTGCTAGGCGCCGGGAACCCCACCGTCTGCTTTGCCTCCCCTCCCAAAACATCTTCTGGATTCTCTTTCATCTCTCCCTCTCTTTTTTCAAACCCTGCAGCTCCCTCTGCAAATGTTCTGGGAATGGCCAGTAAGAAACCTCAAGCGTGCCGGGCTTTTTTATCCACGTAAATGTGCAAAGACATAGGAAGCCGTTTGTAGAGAGGTTAAACTGGGTCAGCTCCTGCAGGCATCACGTGCCTGGATCCCAGGGGCAGAGCTGAGGCAAACACAGGTTGGCTGCTGCAGCTGAGAAACTAGAGAGAAAACACACACACACACACTTGGAGAAGAAGGAGGCACACACCGTGTTTGCAAGCAGCCCTTGGGGAAAACCAGGCAGAGAACTGGCCAGGTTTCCTGGCAGCAAAGATCTAACAGGGGATGCCAGCCCAGGAGAAGGAAAATTAGAAGCTTTAAAGCCACAAAATGGGGGAGAGGAGGGGGGTTACAAATCTCAAGTTCCTATCCAAGGAATACATGTCTGATGATAGATAGATAGATAGATAGATAGATAGATAGATAGATAGATAGATAGATAGATAGATAGATAGATAGATAGATAGATAGA